TTTTTCATCCCCGCATCCCTCCTCCTCCGAGCGCCAACCCGCCGGCTCCGCATCCCGCTCCAGCCGCCGCCGATTTAGAGATGGAGCCGTGTTCCGTGGCGAGGAGGAGCTGATCCACTCGGGAGAGTTTGTGGGAGGAAAGCCAGGGTTTGGGAAGTTCCAGCAACCCCAGGGCTGGTTTGGGAAGTTCCAGCTACACCAGCATAATTCTGTGTTTACGTGCGAGGACACGAATCCGTGCCGGGGACACGTGCCGTGTCCTCGCGTGTGCCAGGGGACAGTGGTTATCGGATGCAGATTTGGGAAGGAAGGCTGGCTCGGGGAGCCTCCAGCGCTCTGCTTCAGCGCTGCCCTGCTTCTGAACCTCGCAGCCATTAATCACCGTCCAGCTCCGTCGGCGGTGGCCTGGCTTTGCGAAGGGGATGCTGTCGGCGTCGCGATGGAGCGGGCTTGGCACCGCGCTCCTCCGTGGCTCCTCCGTGACGTGGGCCGGGGCCCGGCCGGCTCTCCCCGTCACTCCCCCTCGCCGCTGGATGGTGCCTTCGGATACTGCAGAGCGTTTCTCTGGTTAAACACACCTTTTGTTGGATTTTTTTTTTTTCCCCCTATTAGCCAAGAAAAACTTTGCAACTTTCCTTCGTTTTTGGAGAGGAGCTGCCGCTGCTGGGTTTCATTTTGTTTTTTTAATTTGAGGTCACGTGCACGTTGACAGTGTCTTTGAATCTGAGCGATGGTCTCGTCTCTAGCTTAGAAAGAGCTTTTGAGCTCTTCCTTCTGTTGTTTTCTCTCTGTTCAGGAACAAAGAGATTTTTCTGCCTTTAATTAAAAGGAATATTAATTCTCCGCTCCTTTGTCGAGCGACTTGAAGACGCTCTGCAAACATCCGTCTGTTTGGCAACGCAGCAGGGTGAGCTCTGCTATGGTACGGGGCACGGAGATTTGGGGGAACCATCCCAAAACCCCGCAGCAAATGCGAAGCAGCAGCCGGGCAGGATGCTGACAGCCCCGGTGCTGGTGGTCCTCGGTTGAGGAGCCCCGTGGGACCGAGCTGCCACCCGGGGCAGGCGCTTGGGTCCCCGGAGGAGGAGAAGGCAGGTCCCCGCGCAGAGCATTTCCATGCAGGGAGAAGTTTTGAGCGTTGCTTTTGCTGTGGTTGGGGAGGAAAGCAGAGATGAACTTGGCTGTGCAAAGGGATTTTTCCCCGCCTGCTGCCTCCCGGCAGGCCCGGACGGTGTCCGTGCTGGCAGGTAAGGTTTTATCCGGGGACAGCCAGATGTCGGGCGGGTTTTGTTTGAAAAACGTGTGGCTGCAGATGTTGGCTTGTAGGGAGGGAAAGCCGAGAAGCC